CCTCCGGGTCTCCGGGACCCGCCACCCCGGCTCCTAGGGCTGCCGGACGCCCTCCTCCAACCCCCTCCAAGGGCCGCCGGACCTCCTGGAACCCTCACCGCACTGCGAGGCCGCCCCGCCCTCCCCCCATCCCCCCAGCTTCGAGGGCTGCCCGACCTCCTGGGACTATCCACACCCCACCCCGCTCCAAGGGCTGCCGGATTCCTCCTCCGACGCCCTCGGAGGCCTCCTGGCCTCCGGGGGTACCCTCCCTGCCGGCGCGGACGCAGCCCCCGGGGCCGCCGCGGGAGGGTCTAGCACGCTGGGCCGCAGGGAGCAGTTTTGGGCGCAGCGGGCGCCCCCGCCCCGGGACCCACAGGACGGCCGCCCCGGGCGCCCCCTACCCGGCCCGGCCCGGGACCCACAGGACGGCCGCCCCGGGCACCTGGCGGGGGCGCGAGCGCAGGACAGTTGGGCGGCGGCCGGCAGCCGTGGCCCTCTGGACTTTGAGCCGCAGACGGCATTAATCGCTATTAGTGCTAATCGCAGGGCCCCGGGCGGGGCCGGGGGGTGTGCCCGACTTGCCTCCACCTGGAGGAGGGGGCCAGGAGGTGAACGGGCAGCGGCTAAGACTTTCCAAACTCGGCCGGCCCCGCATCTGCCAAGGCGCGGAGGTCCGCCGGGCCGGCCCTGGTCCACACGGCAGCGGCCGCGTTTTCAGGCCTGTTTCCAATGGCACAAAGGCTTATCAGCCGGCCGCGCGCTGAGAAAGCCGCGGTTCCTGGTCCGCGGGGTCGGGCGACTTCCCGGGACAAAGGCCGGGCTTTGGTGGGAGCTGAGGCCGGGGGCGGTACAAACCGCGCATTTACTGTACCCAGCCGGGCCCCTTCCGTTCGAGCCTGTAATAAATTATTATTGCAGCCCCTTAAACATTCCTGAAGTCGGTTTATAACCTTCCTTTCATTGTGTGCCCCTAAGTCGATCATATTCAGACCCGAAGGCCAAGTTGGCATCATGGATAGGCTGAGCCTGGAGTTTTCACAAGAGGGGAGAAAGAAGTCTGTTCCTCAAGGAAAAAGAAACGCTGGTCTCTGACGCCCTTTCCTCCCCAGGCTGAGCTGCAGGAAAGGAGCCGAGATCAGGCATTGACTTAAGTGACAGCATCTAAGTCCTTACACCTCCCTCTGAACCACTGCGTCCCCTGCAGTATTCAAACCCTGTCCCAGGCCTTGGGTTGTGTGCCGGCAGGGCTGGGCTGGAATTTTCTCTCTGGTTTCGGGATCTGAGGGTGAGGAGCAGCCACAACAGCAGCTGAATTTACTGCTCTCGAGACACACAGAGGCGCTCCCTGCCTCTGTGTGAAGATGAAGGAGCCCCGGGACAAACCAGTGGCCACGTTCTCAACAAAGGGCAGAGAAATTGCCTGAGAAAAGCTGGATTTAGCACAGGCTATGTTCATTTAGACCAAGACTTTTATAAAAATGAACATCATTATTTTTTCCCCCAACAACATTCTTTAAGATAGAAATATTTCAAATTTATAATGGCTGTCAGTTTTGGAAACTGTCTCCTTAGGGTTCCTTACGGTTTTTTTTGTTTTAAATATCAAATCAATTCACAAGGAAAGATACTATTTTGGAATATGAAGATGTAAGTTCCACAATTTTCATTCCTACTTAATCTTAGAATTTTTAACAGATGAAAAACTCCATCCCAGTTACCCTGGGTAGAAAAGACTAGATTGCAGACTGAAGGCCCATGGATGGAGCACAGGCTGCAGCCATGGCTCCCCACTCCCTGGAACAAATGGTTTTCTCAAAAATTCGGAAGTGATCAGCTGAACCGGACTACTTTTTTCCCCCGTTTGACCAGTTTGAGAAACTTGAAAGGAGTATGTGAGTAAAATAGGTGAAGTATCTTTCAGTGTGCTGATCTTTAAAAAAATCGCTCTCTCTCCGTCCTGGATTTCAAATTCAATTGTGCTTGAATTTGTGAAGGCTTCTGGTATGGTGTGCGATGGGCTTTTCACAAAAGACAAGTGCACTTCGAGGGGAATTTGAATTTCTCTGAGATCGTTGCTGAAAAGCAAGTTCGCCCAGTGGCCCGGTCTGCCTCTTGCCTGTCCTTCTGAGAAAGGATGTTGGTCTGAGGGTTATCCCTGGGCATTTTTTGTCTCTTGGAGATCCCCGAAGAGGCTAGGTGGGTCCCAGTGCTGCCTCATTGCTTCAAGGACTTGGGAAGCGTCACTGTGCATCTTCATTGTTTGCTCTCCCCACACTGTGGGCCCTCTTTCTCTGGGACAGGTTGTGGACACTGGAGCCCCGAGGCTGGGTGAGGGCTTGTGCATTTGGAGTTTAAAAAACAACCTACATGATGCTCCAGGATCCAGCAGGGACAGCGTGGAGCTGCTGAGGATCCGGGCAGAGGTCTTTATTTCTCTCTGCCCTTGTCCGTGGCTGCACTGCGGGAACCTTCCTCTGGCCTGCTCTGGCTGTCTGCTTTTTCAGAGCTGAGCAGGAGCAAGGGACAGCGGTTCTGGGGTCAGCACCATCCGCAGGCTCCAGGGACATGCAGGCAATTCCTCCCTCTGGCTGAGAGAGGAGAAGGCTTGGCACGTCTGGGATTTTCCCCGTTCCTCTCTTCCCGTGCGTGGCTG